ATTAATCAACATACAACATGCAATACATTCACCTAATCTATCCATGTTCACCCTTTTTAACAATCCAACAATTTTTCATAAGGTAATCCATCCCCGACGTTATACTCCTTAAGCCTGATGCCATTAAGATAAGGAGCTCTCTGTCTCGTCCACGCTTGGTGCTATTCAACCTATGCCCGATGTGGATGAGATCAAAGATCCCTTGAGGCAACCACACATAGCATGGCTAAACCCATGCTCAACCTTAATTTAAGCAGAGACAATTATCTTTCCTCACACTTGGCACCACCTCATTGGCACTCGACGTCAATCAAATAGAGAGCTTTATCTTGGTTATGCTAGGTGCCTCACAACTTGGGCCCTAACGCCATTAAGTCAGAAACATTTTTCTCACCTCACACCTAATGTCATTCAAACCATACCTTGCGTGACCAAGTTAAAGGCTTTTCTCTCTCTTTACGGGCTTTTTAGCCAAAATAAAAAAAATAAAATTATTAAAATAAATTAATTAAAAAACTAATTACCTAAATGAATTATTTTTGCCAAGTAAGAGAGAGAGGATGAAAAAAATCATCACATGTGACGATTTCTTTAGACAAGATAGGTGTTGTGCATGTTGTGTTGTGCGTGTTGTGCATGGCATGCATGTATAAGGGTAAACGTCACCATAGTGGACGTTTTTTGTCCAAAGTTCTTCAAACCGAAGACGTCATTATGCTAGACGTCTTATAGCATAGATTTTGTTCAAAATTCGTCATCCCTGTAGACGTCTATCTAGAGTTTCAAACACAACTTATCGAATTAAAATTTTTAATTATTTCGTTCATTATTATATGTAAGCTTTTGGTTATGTTATATTTGAATACACTCTTAATATTAAGAATATGCATCTTGAAGAAGAATATACATGCATACGTACACATATTAAATATTAAATTTAATAAATTTATTATTTTAATATATTTAATCAATTATTAAATTCTTATAATTAACATTATATATAACAATACATTAAAAATAATTATATAAATTCTTTGTATTTTAATTATAATAAGAAATATAAATTATAGTTTGTTACATGATTGAAAGTACTAAAAATAACAAAAATAAAACAATAAATTTTAATTAACATGCATATAATTCTTTTAAACAATTAAAAAACTTACATTTTTAAACCTCATTTTAATTAACAGAATAACTAATTTCTTATAAATCATATTTTATACAACACAAAAAATTTAATTCCAAATTATAACTATAACTAATCATCAAAAGTTATTTTCACATACATAAAAATTTAACCATCACCAAAATTTTCACATATATAAATTTTAAACTTATAAAAATATACATCAAATTAACAACATATAATTCTTTTAAACAATTAAAAAACTTACATTTTTAAACCTCCTTTTAATTAACAAAATAATTAATTTCTTATAAATCATATTTTATACCACACAATAAATTTAATTTCAAATTACAACTATAACTAATCATCAAAAGTTATTTTCACATATATGAAAATTTAACCATCACCAAAATTTCCACATATATAAATTTTAAACTTATAAAAATATTCATCAAATTAACAACATATATAATTCTTTTAAACAATTAAAAAAAACTTACATTTTTCAACCTCATTTTAATTAACAAAATAATTAATTTCTTATAAATTATATTTTATACCACACAACAAATTTAATTCCAAATTACAACTACAACTAATCATCAAAAGTTATTTTCACATACATAAAAATTTAACCATCACCAAAATTTCCACATATATAAATTTTAAACTTATAAAAATATACATCAAATTAACAACATATAATTCTTTTAAACAATTAAAAAAACTTACATTTTTAAACCTCATTTTAATTAACAAAATAATTAATTTCTTATAAATCATATTTTATACCACCAAATTTAATTTCAAATTATAACTATAACTAATCATCAAAAATTATTTTCACATAAAGCATAAATATAACCTAAAAATCTAAAATCATACAAACAACCATACCTTCTCCTTTTTTTTTCTCTTCTCTTTTTTTTTTCTTCCTTCTTCACTTTTCACTCTCGTGCTCTCCCTCAGCAATATGGCTCCCCCCTCACCCTCACCTTCTTTTAAAGTGAAGAAGAGAATCTTCACGTTCCCGAACAGAACAAATGTAGCATTGAAGTGATTGGTGCATGTGTTAAAGAAGTCGTCAACCTAGGTGATGATTTCTTTGAGTTTTTTGGTCAAACCCGCTTGCATCCATCTTTGTTCCAATATTCAAATGGATTCTCCATCTCTATTATGTCTCTCTATAACAATGCATGCATGTTTCAAGTCACACAGACCATGCAGGGAGTCGTCAACTTATGCAAAACGTCACTTAGGTTAACGTTTTATGCATCATTTCTGAATTACTGAAGTCGTCAACATTGTTGACATTTTATGCACCATTTCTGGGCTATTGAAGTCATCAACATTGTTGACATTTTGTATGCACCATTTCTGGACTTTTTCACATGCCTTTTGGACTTGTTGGCAGGAGGAAGGATGTTTAAAACTCGTCACTTTCCTTGATGTCTCCTATATCCTATGTGGCAAAAATTATTTATTTTGGTAATTAATTTTTTTAATTAATTTATTCAATAATTTTATTTATTTATTATTTTATTATGATCAAAAAGCCTTTTTTATGCTCAGTGCCACCAATCTTGTGCCTGACACGAGTGAGACAAAGGACCTCTAGTTTGAGCCATGCTCCATGCCATAAAGGCGTGTTCGGTACGCGTTGACAAACTCTTGAATTGGCCCAAAGCACTTGAAATCTAGAAAATTTCCAATATGCAAAGGCAAATATCATACATATACATCATCCACAACTCATTTCATACCAGAAATTCAACATGCAACTACCAAATAACTCAATTCTTCAAAAATCACCTCAAAATGCATCGAAGCACCCAAAACTGAACCCCTTCATAATACAATCTAAAACTAGCCAACATAACCACATTTTGTTGAAAATCAAGGACATGCAACCTAGACAATCTAACATAAATAAGGTTCTAGCTTCCTTTATCTCAAAATCCAAGAGAACCAAGGAAGAAGAAGAAGAATGAGCTCCACACCTACATAATGGTTTGATTCCAAGCTTCTCAAGCTCAAATCTCTACTCAATTGCTCAAATACAATCCTTTACGCACTCGAGAAGGCTAAAAAGAAAGAAGGAAGGCTTCAGAATCCCAAAGTCTCTCTAACTTCTTTCTAAAGTTCTTTGAGAAATGATTTTATGAAGCTCAAATTTTAAAAGAAACCTTATATACTTTTTTCCTAAGGTTAAACTGGACCTCTGCTAAAAAAAAAACCCTCTAAATGCGTAAAACTCAAGAGAATTCCTTAACTCCTCAAAGTCTCTCAACAATAAACACAAAAACACTACAACACATATTTATTAAGAGAAATCACAATAATTAACAAAAAAAAAATAAAAAAATACAGTGTTACAATTATTGGGTAAGTTTGTGTTGTACTTGTTTTTTAATGTTGTTTCTCCTTTCTCATCGCAAAATGCTAGCTTCGCTGCCTGCCCCCACATGTTGCCACCACCACAACATTTCACCACTAACCATTACCTTCAAATATGGTTGCTCTAGAAATTGCACAACATAATAGAGGTTACACAAGTACACTTCGTTATGTAAAAACAATTCAACAATTACCTATCTAAAATACGTTTTATGGGAAACAACCACACCTTGGACCCTTATGGTGGGAATCAATGGACTTCTTGAAGATGAGATAGAGGATGATCTTGGTGTGGAGGTTGAGGGTGATGTGAAGCTTGGGAACCTAAAATCATATTTCAGATGATGAATAATCCATATTTTTATAAAAGGACAAAATAGTAAATTAAATCAACAACATCTCAACTACACAATTTAAAATGTTATATCTTATTGTCAGAAATAATTTATACCATATGAACCACTAACTCTACTTTATTTTGGTAATTCACTAGTTCAATACAAAATCAATCTATAGTACTTAAATTAAATGCTTTATAGTTTATAAGAGTTATACTATTTTAATGTGTATGTATGTTAAAGGGTATCTTATATATTTGTAAATATTTATGTATTGTTGTGTTTGTTTGTTTTTTTTTTCTTATTTCATGTGAATCAAACATGGTATAGAAGAGATCTCTTTGATCATATTAGTTTGTTTATATGTAAATAAAAAAAAATAAAATCAAGTGAATTTTTAATAGGAGTTTGAGTATTTTTCCTTTAAATTCTTCATTTATCCTTTCTTCATTTTCTTCGATTAATCGAATTGTTCTTTGTTTTTTGTTCCATAATTAGTTGGCTCATTAAGTGATACAAGACATATTCACGTAGGAGCTATGTAAAATCTTTTAGTTGTCGAGACGTTAACTCTACTAATGTATAAGACTCGTGCACCTTCGTAAAAAAACAACAAAGCCTTATATGTTAATAGGTGTGTTTAGAAGTGTTAAAAATAGTCCGATTCAACTATCCAAAGTGAGTTGAATTGATAAGATGGTCCAAAAAAATTGAGCTAATTTGCGTTGGCTTGACAAGTCAACCAAACCATATTAAACCAATAATTTTTTAGTTTAAAAACTATTAAGCCTATTTGTCTAATATTTTTTTGCTTTATTTTGTAAAATTCAAATAAAAATTGCGGATAAAAGAAAAAGAGTCAATTTGGCCCTTCCCATCTAGATGGGTCAAATCATATCACAAAAAGAATGCCCTTATAAGAAATTTTGGATAGATTAGGTTAAGCCATTCACAAGCATTGGCTTACACGAGTTGATTTGCATAGTTAACAACTTTATGTTTATCGTAAGCCTTCATTATATCCTAATGTATTCATTAAAATTATTGAAATAAACCATAAATTTAGCCATTAAAGTATTACTCTCCCTCCTTTTTTTAATATTTTTTTATGGATGGGAAACAAAAACAAGAACAAGAAGAAGCCTCTAAGGCACCTATTATGAATTGAAGCGTAATTTGTTAAGGACATTGGCCCCAAAGAACAACACTATCATCAAAAGCGAATCCTTATTCAGCTAGCAGTCAACGCAGGCGTTTCCTTCACAAAAATATTGTTGGAGAGCAACTTGGCAATCCCTTGAGATCAATTGAGGAACACTTGTGATTAGAGCAACATATGGATGAAATGGAGGAGTTGGCTCTTCAACAAGATCAGAGCAGTCAGGGAGTCGAAAACATTGTGATATCCATGTGCCCAAGCTAAAGGAAGACCCTGATATGATAAATAGCATGTATTTCTGCATTAAGGTTATATAATTTTATTGTCAAGAAACATGAAATAAATTGTTTACTCGCCATTATTCAGGTCCACTATTATCATGTCTTAATCAATTTTAACGTGACCTTAAGAGAGTTGAATGAGCCATCTTGGGTCACGGGGCCTTTACGTTTCTAGTCATATATTTATAGAACCAAAGGCATGGGACATCCAATGCTAATGGAACCCTAAAATAATAGACATAAGAGCAACACAAGCCCATTTTCAAGCATTTCTAACACTAATTAATTTTGCTTGTGTCTTATCAATATGTCATGATCAATGCTTCGTCTATGTTGGATAAAAACTTGTTATACGACAGGTTGAATTAAAAAAGCATATAATAAAGTTATACATACTTGTGATAAAAGCGAGTTGTGTAAAGTCAATGTGCTAAACTTATTGAGCTCACTTCATATGTTATTTTTGTCATCTTCCCTCTTCTCAAGCACGTGCCCTCTTAAATTAATAATAAAATTAAGATTGTGCAACTTATCCTGATGTGTGAATTCTGAACAAATGTGACGGCAAAATTTGCCCAATTTCGAAACATAGTCAGAAAATTATGTCAAAGCCCAAAGTGGAAATTAAATAAAGTTAGAATACTTGTATTGTGTAATGTAGGGGAAAAAAAAAGTCTAAGTAAAACAAAATGTCCTAAAATAAATACTAAAACAGATAATATCTCAAACGTGGCAATTTTAACCATGTTAGTAAACTTGAGGTTGAAACATGAGGCCATATGTCTTACTCTTTAGTCTCAATTATACAGTCTTGTTTTGTTATGCTCCAAAAATTTAATATCACTTAAAGTTGAGGCTCAACTCTTAATCTATTGATATTTTTGTTCAAAAATAAAATTGTGAATGTTCAACAAGTATCAAAATAAACAACACTTTAAATATGATGACTCTAACAATATCCAAAATTAAACAGATTGATGTTTCGGGGATAAAGTATCTTCATGTCCAATACTAAAATCAACATCGATCATTGATTAAAGAACATAAATGTGAAATTACATATTCTAATAACTATTGGTTGAGACATTTTCCTTCACTTTTATTTTGCTAGCCACTTCGGAAAAAAAAAAAAAAGGAAATTAACCTTAGCTTGCAAAAAAAAAAAAAATGCTCGGGTAGTGCACCCAAGTCCCAAGAGGAGAGAGAGAAAGAAACTTTCATACTCATGTTTCATAGTCACATGTTTCTGAAGGTTGGTCACAAGTGATCACGAGATTTTCCCACTTTGTTGTCATTGCTGTTGAATTCGTGGTTTGGACATTTAAGCCGCACAAAAAGGCGTCTAACTCAACTACCATCCACCTATTTTTTTTTTCAAGAACTAATCAATGTTACGATAATACACACATAAACATCAGAATTGTAAGATGAATCTAATACCAATTAGTACAAGGTTTACACGAAATAATTTGTGTACTTTTGGATTTTACTAAACAAGTAGATACAATAGAGTTTTTTGAACTTTAATTACTATGTCAAAGTCATGCAAAGCCCAGACAAACCTAGAAGCCCATTTAAATAATATGCAAATCGCATGTCATATTTACAACTATAGTTGACGTCAAATATCTCAACTTTTATATAAATAAATAAAAAAGTATATGCATGGGAACTCATGATCAGTAACAATTATTTTTTCTTCTTCTATTTCGTCTCAGACACAGTCAATTGCTTAACAAGAAGGCCAAATCTAAATTATTTTAAGACCCATTCCACATTAAGAAAGCTCGAAATCTAATGCAATCCAAGTTAGATTGCAACCAATAATTTTCAATTCCCATATCCAATTCATCATTAAATTAACATAAAATAGCATAACACAACCACCACACATCTAATCAATTGAATTTAAAATTGCAACCGTGCCAACGACGATATACAAACCCCAAGTAACCTCACGAACTTATCATTATTAGTGTATGAAACTAATTAGCCCAACCAACCATCTAAACAAACACTATTAGAATCAACTTCAGAGTAAATGCATAAGAACTTAAATTTAATTCTTATCTGGTGACGGTAATCTTTTTTATCTATAAAAAAACACGCTCTAACAACCAAAATAAATAAACTGTATATTTGTATAAGGAAGAAGGAAAAAAATTGAAACAATATGCACGCAATATCACTAAACATATATCAATGGACAAATAATTAAAGTCCATGTGAGTGTTTGTTTGTTTAATTAATTAATTTCTCCATTTTGGTACATTAGAATTGGTACTAACATGAAAACAAACACTAACTAATAACGTACCAAATTAAGAAACATTGATTCATTGGTTACTATTCTTGTCCATGCATTGATGTAGCCATAGCAACGACCCCAAGTTTCTGAAGGTTGAGTTTGACCACCGTGTCCACAAACATCTTGGTATCCTCTTCCGTATTCCCTTCGGGTATGTCTACGATATACGACTCCAACACAATGGTGTAAACCTTACCCTCTTTGTTGAACTCGTTCACCGACGTCACAGAACGATAGTTCTTGAGTCGGTGTTCACCACCGACCACTCTGAAGCTAAGGACATGTTTGTCATCGTCCAAAATCTCGAGCCTCTCCGTGCTGGTTGACGCGGGGAGGCCCGAGACGACGGTGACTTCCCTTATGCTCCCCACACCCCCATCTCCTCTCATGTTGCAGCCCTTGATGAAGTGCTTGTACTTCTGAGGGCTCTCGAAGCTCCTCACAAACGGCCACACGATGCTCGCGGGAGCATCGATGCGGTACGTTATTATGGAAAAACATGTGTTGGGAGGGCGTTCAAAAATGTGGTAGGTTTTTATGATGGGTTCGAGTTCCATGAACTCTTCGGGTGTTAGGCCTTGCACGTGATGGTGTGACTCCGAGGCCATGTTATGGTTTGGTTTGTTGGTGAATGAGGGAGGAGAAATGATCATGCAAGAGAAGGAGGGAAGAGAGGGTTGTGAAATGAAGGTAAGGTACCTTATCAATTATGGGATTGATATATACATGGAGATGGGGTGGTGGACAAAATAATCATATGAAAAAACAACACATGAGTATCCATGTGTACGCTTATTTATGTATGAGGTTGTCTTTATTTTATTTTATTTTTTTGTTTTGGACGGATATGAATATGCCCTAGACAGTTCAGTTTTATAGGACACCACACAAGATCACTTGCTACGTCAATGCTCGGGAGTCAGGACCATGTTAATTAATGTGCGTACTACTCAATTTGAGTTTAAGAATAACAGAATAAAAAATTATTTGCTATCACGAATAGTTTAGTATATTTGTTTTTGTTATTTAAAATCGAAATTTGGTCATCAATTGGCTGTGTAGTCGCAATTAAAAGTAACATTTACCTAAAAAATAGAGTAACCCAATCTGAAAAACAAAATTAAGAATTTACATTATTATTAATTTGTACTAAAAAAATAAGATTTTTTTATTTCTCTGTAAAGTGTGTATATTTATATATTATTCTTGCTTCTTAGGTAAGGGAGATGATTTGTAGGCTGGACCTAAAGTTTAGCTATATGAGGAAAGGAGTTGTCTCTAATGGAAGACGATGTATATTTTTAATCCTTTTATATTTTATGGGCAGCTTTGTCTTGTGGTGATTTGAAGCTGATTCGGTGGTGCTTTTGAGGCTACTATTTTATATTATTAATTTCTCGTTTAGGCTTCTTGTAAGAACAGGTATATAACAAATTGTGCCTCATGTTGACCTTTGCCTTTTCAATATTGCCATCAAAATTTAATATCAGCAATAATTATTTAACCATTATCTCTATTTTATTATTTAATAAAAATATTAATAATTAGTAAATAATAATTATTAAAAATATATTTATATTATATTAAAATTTATTATTAATATAACAATTATTTAATAATAATAAATTGATTATATTTATTTTATTATCTAATAAAAATATTAATAACAAAAATAATAATCACTAAAAATATATTTATAAGAACAATTATTAAAAATGACCGGTCAAAAAATAAGGATAATTTTTAATCTATTTTATTAAAAAAAACTTAAGTCTCACATCGACTAGAATTAAGATAATATATATAAGTAGAGAATAATCCTTATCTTACAAACTGATTTTGTAGGGTTAAATTAGACTTATAACTCACTATTCTAAGATGGTATCAAATCACCTATCATTAATTCACGTATTAAACTTAATAGTATGTTAGACTTAGACTTGAGAGATATATTGAAGAAAAAAAAACTTAAGTCTCACATCAACTAGAAATAAGACAATTAAAAAAATATAAACAGAGTTTAACCCTCATCTTACAAGTCTTACATTAACTAGAGATAAGACAATTAAAGAGTATATAAACTACAAGTCTCACACTGATTAGAGATAAAATAATTAAAGAATATATAAAAAAATCTAAATATAAGTTAATAATCCATTCTTAAACTTTTAGTAATAATAGTAAAAAAATATTTAATATTAGTAAAAAAAAGTCACAAAAATTCAACCATTATAAGAATCTTTACTAACATACATAATAATTATCGATAAATATTTGACTAATGTAAAATTATTGATAAAAACATTTTATAATTATTTTTATTATCACTAAAAAAAATTCATTTTCCTGTAATGATTTATTCTTAATCCCGCCTGATACCTCTATGGTAGGGCAACTAGGGTAGATTGAAATTTAATTCCTCATATAGATTATAAATAAGATTGGTTGAGCGATGAGATTCAAGTAATATGTATGAAATTTTAGGATGATTGTTGTACACCAAAAATAAAATAAAATAAGTAAATATGAAAAATTAATTTTTATACATAGATAATATAATACAATGTTAATGGGGTAGCATTAAAAAGGTGGCTTTTGAGAAAGGAAGAGTATGGGTAAGGGAGGAGTAGTCGCAATCGTTGAAAAGGGTAAGGTGGAGATTCAAAAATCATGTGAGAAGTCTAACAAACACTTATCCGCGTGATCCAAACTTCACTTTGCAGGTTGCAGGTTGCAGGTTGCAGGTTGCAGGTTGCAGGATTCCCCACCCACCCCACGTAAAGAAAATAATTAAAATTGTTCCATTTGGTTATTGATATATAGAAAGAGGTTGCTTATCATTGATCTCAAGTCTCAAGTGTCACGATCATGATCATGATCATGATCATGATCATGGTTATTGGGCCCATTGGATGGGACTTTCTTTCATACAAAGTTTGAGAAATAGAAGCGGCAAGAGACACAGCCTTTGCATGTGTGTGGCTAGCTGTATGCGAAAATGTGAGCAGCAGTAAAGTGACTATAATTATATTGCTTCAAAGCAAGAGAATCTATCACTATGTACTATTGCATTTCTCTCTCTTTATTATCCTTATCATTTTACACTTATAAACTTAACATTATCACTCAACAAACTGAAAAATAGTCAGTTAAATTTGATTCATAAATTAAATGTATTAAATTTGAGTTAAAAATTAAATATAATAGATAAATGAGTCTAATTTATGTTGTGTATAGTTTAACTCATTTAATTCATAAACTAATTTGATGTATAAATATATAATTTATATAATTGACTTTCTATTTAATTTTAATTTATTAAAATTTAAAAGAGCATTCAAAATTTTGTTATAAGGCAATAATAACAAAATAAGTGAGTACTTTATAATTTCATAATTATAAATTATTTTATGTAAGTTGTAGTAATTTTTATTTATACAAATTTTGGTTGTGATTATATTTCTTTGAATCATACTTTATAACCTTGTAAAATTAATATAATTAGTTATGTTTTGTCCTTTAAAAAAGTTAAACAATTCCTTTTTCTAAAATTATTATTCAATTAAAATTTTGAAATGTATAGGATTAAAAAAATTGATTCTTAATTGTGATTCGAGTTAATGAACTAAATCAAATTGATATATAGCAAATTTGAATTAAGTCAAGTCTAAGCAAAATAAAAAAGGCCCATATCGAACTTGAGTCAAACTTTAATCTGAGTTAAATATTATCGAATTAAGTTTAATTGAATTGAACTTGACTTAGTTTAACTCATTTTCAACCCCTACTCACACTTACAAAAGTTATTTGAAAAATTTCTCGATAAAAATTAGTTTCAATAAAAATTAGTCATTAATAAAATAAAAAATAATCATATTTATAATAAGATTACTAAAATAAATATCATTCTTTTACTTTTGAATTGGGATAACATTAAAGTAGTATAAAATATAAATATTTATATTGATATATGATTTGGATGATATGAGAAATCATATTAGTATAACTTATACATATCATTATTAATAATTTTAATAAGATAATATTATCCCAAAATTTAGCATTTGATTAAAGTTTCTTTCATGTAATATATACACGTACACATATATTTGATACATTATTTATGTACAACAAAATTAATATAATATATACTTTAAAATACATATGTGATTATCTTTTTTTGTTGCTATTTAGTTTCAATAAAATTTAATATAAATAGTTGAAGTAATAAATATTTATTATACAATAATTAGATTGATGAAAATTACATTTTAGGAAAAATTATTGATGATATAATAGTTTATGCAAATTATATTAATGTAATAAATAAAAGTTAGATGTAGTTCTATATATACTAATGCAAGGAATAAATTTCGATCAATGATTTAACAAAATGATTATGATTAAGCATAATTAAATTAGACAATCTTTGTAACGACCCACCACGGTCTCTACACTTAGTGGAATCGCACTACAACTAGTTAACTAAGAGAATATTAAACTGGATAACACATACATACAGGCATAAATATAAAGATCGAAATAATTAAGTTTCTGTATATAAAATATAGCACCATATATGTACAGTCATCCCAAAATATTCCTTAGTGCCGGTCAAGCACTGACAAAAAAAATGTTACCCAGAATGGTAACTCAAAACACGAGACTCAGCTCCTCGTCTCACAACGATCATCTCTACTCCCAAGCTATCCCTGACCTGCTCCCATACCAAGTTATTATAGTAACTATTTCTATTATCACTATTACTATGATTATAATTATAAGTATTATATTTATTATTATTAATATTATTATCATTATTATTATATTTATTAATATATTTATTATTTTTATATTATTATTATCTACTTTACGTAATCCTAATTTCCTTTTCTTAAGACCTAACTCTTTTTATATGACTACTCACTTTTGTAAATTAGTAATTTGGTTAACAAATGAGAGATAATAATATTTAAATGCCAAGAGAAAAAAAGAAAAAAGAAATGAACGTACAGAAAGGAAAATAGAAAATGGTGCAGCAAAGAAGGAGAAAAGAAGGGGTCTCATCCGCGACAACGTACAAAGAGAAAAAGTAATAAATAAAAAAAAAAAAAAGTGAAGCAACAACGTATAAAGGGAAGAAAAAAATAATTAAAAAAAAAGTGAAGTAGCAATGTACAAAAGGGAAAATAAATAAATAAAAAAAGAAGTGAAGCAGCAGCGTAGAAAGGAAAAAAAATAATAAAAAAAGAAGTGAAGCAACAACATACAAAGGGAAAAAAAAAGAAGTGAAGTAGTAGAGAAGAAGAAAAGGAGGGGTCTCATCTATAGCAGCGTACGAAAGGAAAAAAATAATAAAAAGGAAGTGATGCAGCAAAGAATAAAAGGGGAAAAGATGGATCTCGTACGAAAAGATAAATAAAAAAATGATGCAATAGAAGATAAAGGAGAAAAGGAGATCATGCACGAAACTTCTAGGATGCTTCGTGGGAAAGAGAAAATGCATAATATAAAGGAAGAAAAGAAAGATCAAACGTGAGGTTTACCGGAGAAGCTCTACGAGAGAGAAAAATGTGTTGGGTTCCTCTTCTATGCTCTCATCCGGGTGAATTTGAAGAATGTTGGAGTGAGATGGCAAAACAAACAAGGAGCTCCAATGTCAGTTCAATATTGCACCGTTGGGCTCATGAAGAGTTCAATATACTCACTATTCTTCACTCAAGAAGTGGTAAGAAGAAAGAATTGAGGTGGAGTTTTTCTTTT